CAAATCTACAACTTTGATCAACTTGGGCAGAACTTTTCCCATTCGTCATTGCTTAAGCAAGATCAAGGAATAGATAATTGGAGAAGACATCACACCTATAACAAAACTTTAATGTCCCTTAACCAGGCCTCTACCCAAAATTATTACCAGGATATTAATATTGGAGACAAAAATTATCAGTGCTATAAATCTGATAAAACCTGTAGCCAGGGCTCTAGCCCTAGACAACATCAGAAAGCTTATTTTCTAGAGAACCATCACAAATGTACAAAATGTGAGAAAGTATTTCATCAACATTCAGAGCTTATTTTACATCACTCTATTCAAATTCAAGAGAAACCCCATGAATGTAACAAATGTTTAGAAACTTTTTCCCAGTCATCAGATCATATTCAGCATCAAGGAATCCATTTTGGAGTAAACTCGTCCAGATATGATAAATGTGAGAAAATCTTTAGTCAATCATCAGATCCAAAAAAACATGATACAATCCCCACTGAAAAGAACCTGTACAAATGCAATGAGTATGGCCAAGTTCATAATGACATTTCAACTGAGGAGAAACCCTACAGATGTAGTGAATGTGGCAAAGCCTTTAACCGAAGTTCACATCTTTCTCGTCATCAGAGAATTCATACTGGGGAGAAACCCTACAAATGTAAAGAATGTGGCAAATCCTTTAATGATAATTTATGTCTTACTGGGCACCAGACAATTCATACTGGAGAAAAACCATACAAATGTCAAGCATGCAGTAAATCTTTTACTCATTATTCCAGTCTTACTCGTCATCAGAAAATTCATACTGAAGGCAAACCCTACAATTGTAGTGAATGTGGCAAAGCCTTTAACCATAGTGCACAACTTACTCGTCATCAGAGAATTCATACTGGAGAGAAACCCTACAAATGCAAAGAATGTGGCAAAGCTTTTAACTATAATTCAAGTCTTACCGAGCACCAGAGAATTCATACTGGAGAAAAACCATACAAATGTAAAGTATGCAGTAAATCTTTCAGTCATTCCTCAAGTCTTATTTTGCATCAGAATGTTCATACTGGAGAGAAACCCTATAAGTGTAAAGAGTGTGGCAAAGGCTTTAACTATAATTCACACCTTATTGAGCACCAGAGAATTCATACTGGAGAAAAACCGTACAACTGTAAAACATGCAGTAAATCTTTTACTCATTATTCAGGTCTTATTAATCATCAGAAAATTCATACTGAAGAGAAACCCTACAAATGTAGTGAATGTGGCAAAGCCTTTAACCGCAGTTATCGTCTTACTCAACATCAGAGGATTCATACTGGAGATAAACCATACAGATGTAAAGCATGCAGTAAATCTTTTATTTATTCTTCAAGTCTTATTTCGCATCAGAAAATTCATACTGGAGAGAAACCTTACAAGTGTAAAGACTGTGGCAAAGCATTTAACTGTAATTCACGTCTTACTGGGCACCAGAGAATTCATACTGGAGAAAAACCCTACAAATGTAAACTGTGTAGTAAATCTTTTACTAATTCCTCAAGTCTTATTTGGCATCAGAAAATCCATGCTGGAGAGTAAGCCTTCAAATATGAAGACTATAGCAAAACCTTTAACTATAATTCATTTCTTACTGAGCACCAGAAAATTCATACTGGAATAAAACTCTAGATGTAAAACACATGGTAAATATTTTACTCATTGTTTAGGTCATACTCAGCATCACAGAATTCATACCAGAGAAGAAGCTTACAAATATGAAGAATGTGATATTCCTGTGGTCCGTTTTAATTAACATGGGAATTCATAGTAGAAAAAGTCTTCAGATATACTTAATACAGAAAGCACTTCAACAAAAATATAAAACACAAATCACAAGAAAGATCACAGAGAAATTTTCCAGATGTAATAAGTAAAGGAAGTATTAAAACTCATCTAATTGTATCAATTGATTCCCAGAAGGACTAAGATACATTGTTACACGTTTTCAGGCTTAGGTCAGTTTTTATGGAAAGTAGATTTGGTGGTGGATGAATCAAACTTTGCGGACATACCTTTAAAATATATTGTTGCCAGAAATAAATTTTGGATATGCAGATGCTTGTGGGAGCAATCTGCTAGGCAAAATCAGCAGGTTTGTCTTGTGGTTAAACACAGAATCCCAGTGTCCCACAGCCTAAATACAGAGTATAACTCCAACTTAGATCCACTGTAGGTGGGTCACCTTCCAGGGAAGCCAGTCCACAGATGGCAAGAACAACCCTCCTTTAAAGTCAGATTGTCATGGTCATGTTGACCATTGATTACTAGGGGGAGGGGAATCCTGACATGATGGTGGTCCACTCAGACCTAGAGTCCAGATGCTTGTAGGACCCATGTTGTGTTTAAGTATTTATTTTAAAAGAATCATGTCTCCTTGGCTGGGTGCATTGGCTCAATACCTGTAATCCTAGCACTCTGGGAGGCCAAGGTAGGTGGGTTGCCTGAGCTCACAGGTTCCAGATAAGCTTTAGCCAGAGTGAGACCTTGTCTCTAAAAATAGCCAGGCACTTGTAGTGGGCACCTGTATTCCTAGCTACTTGGGAGGCTGAGGCAAGAGAATGGCTTAAGTCTGAGTGTTTGGGGTTGCTGTGAGCTATGATGCCATGGCACTCTACCAAGGATGAAAAGTGAGACTCTGTCTTAAACAAAAAAAAAAGAATCAGGTCTCCCATTTATACTTAGGTAGTAGCTCCCCTTTTGCACATCAGGCATTCGTGATGCTGTTCTCTGTTCAGCATTCCGCTGCAGAGCAATAAACATAGCATACCCAGGGGGAAAAAAAGTCAGACCATCAGTAAAGTACCAGAAGAATGGAAAACCGAGTGTCCAAAGTACTCAATACTAATATGAAACCGGTAGATGAACTAACACATGCTCACACAAAAGAACTCAATTCAAGTTGAGGAGAGAGGGGAGGAAGAAAGGGGCTTGGGGTGTGCCCACCTAATGGGCTCATTGTAGGGGTATATGTTACACTTCCTGAGTGCAGGACACAACTACAGCAGGGACCTTAACAAATGCAAACATTGTAACCTAATTGTTTATACACTCATTCTGAAGTTTAAAAAAAAAAGTCTAGACCATCAGTCCAGTCATGCCACCCTTACTGTGTTTGAGGTACTGAGAAATGTGGGAGGGCAGTTGGTCAGTCCATTGCTTTGAGCATTTTAATTGAAAACATTTATAAAAATTTCACCCAGTTTTTAGGCTTGAATTCCTCCATGATGTTTTACAGCCCATGTTATCCTTTCACCCACCCTGTCTAGAGTGGAAAGTGAATTACGAGTTTTGGAAATAGGTACAACAAAGTTGAGTTTCAGTTTATATTCACACAGTTAACATTGGCATGATTGAAATACATTTCCTTTGGTGGGTATTAATTTCTATTCAGGTATATGAATAAAAAACTGTTGTATAGTATTTGAATAAAATATGCATGCTTTGTATTTTGTACATGATGAGTAGGTAGCAGTCAGGGACTGAAAACAGTACTGGGTTACTACTTTGTTTCCCTTTATCCTCTCTGATGTTGTGTACAGTTACTCAGTGTGCTCATGCTTACTCAAGTTGGCTGGTCCACGTTCCACTATCAAACCACATTTCAAACAGCAACAAAAGTAAATGTGAATCTCATAGATCACAGGAATATTGGAAATCTTTACTTTGAAATTTACAAAAGGCCATTGTCCCCTAGCATTTCTCTATCAAATTGACTAAAATTATATGTTTGCTCTGGAACACAAGAGGACCAATGAGAATATACTTGGGAATGACTGTTTTTACTTGCATCATTAGTCTATATTGTTACAAAATACCTGAGCTGGGTAATTTATTAAAAGAAGTTTATTTAGCTCACAGTTCTGTAGGCTGTGCAAGAAGTGTGGCAACATCTACATCTCATGAAGGCTTCAAGAAATTTCCACCCTCAGAAGAAAAGGGGGATTAGATGCCACACGGGATGAGAGAAAGGAGGGAGGTGCCAACCCTCTTTAACCACATTTCCTGGGAACTGAGAACTCAATCCTGCAAGAATGGCTTGAAGCCATTTATGAGGAATCACTCTCCCCATGACCTAAATACATTCCATTAGGCCTCATGACTAATATTGTGGATCAAATTTCAAAATGAGGTTTGGAGGGAACAAAGATGAAAGAGTATTACAAAAAATGACATAAGGCCATTACACTGAGAAGGTTTTGTAAGAAACACCTAAATTTGAGACAGAAGGTTTATAAGAAACCCTTAAATTTGAGAATACATATTGCATATGTACAAGATCCAATTGTGTATTGTTTGTGACATGCTTGAAGAGGTGTTTAATTATTTGATTGTTACTAATGACTATGAGGAATATAATAGAATGTTCTGTTCAACTCCATTATCAAATATGTCTGATAATCCTTTACTACCTGTGTTTTATACCTTATGATGAAAAAATAATTTAGAATTTGATTTAAATTGGGTTATCCTCATGCAAGACATGAATACATGAATAGCTTATTTGGGAGGTGATTCCAGAAAGCATGAGGAAGGTAGTGAGGGAAATGCAACAGGGAAGAAAAGGAGGCCAGTGAAAGCTATGTTTTCAGTCAGATATATTTTTCATAACTTTAGGTTTTGAGCTAAGGCACAGTTCTTATATTACCATACATATACCTTTGGTGTATTTCCTAGAATAATTTCTAACTCAGGGGTAAGCTGTGACTTGCACACTGCTACAATTATTAAAATCAGTGTGCATTCAAATCATGTGGAAGACTTATACTATGTTGGATTGCTGGGCCCTTCCTACAGATGAATTATTCTGTGGTTGGTCTGCAGCCAAAAATATGCTTTTCTTGCAAGTTCTTAGGTTTTTCTCGTGCTTCCTATCCCATGAACCCACCTGGAAAACCAATCTCTAGGTGCACTTTATAATTACAATTGTATTCTTCACTAAGGATATTGCTTTGTAGGCAGTGTGGTTAGATAGGCTGATGACTACGAATGGTTTTGTCTTGGTTGTCCAGATGTGAAAGAAGGATCATATGTGGGATTTCCTCTATGGTTTCACCTTGAGATTTTGAGTGCTATTCCTGGCACACAAGGGTCAGTGAAATGCTCAGTCAGTGTGTAAGTTTGTGGCCTGAGCTGGGGTATAAACTCTGAAGTCTCAGACCAAAAGTATGCATGAAAACACTAGATGAAACTTTGATAGTCTGAGAGGGGAAAGAATTCCACAATTACTTTGGCAGGCATTTATTACAGTTTGCTCTGTTACTTTCAGGGCTATGTGAGGGAGATACAGGAAAGACAGTGATGGTGGCTCTGGAGGTTTGGGTATGTGGAGTTACATTCAGAGCTGCAAGATAGGCCTTATTTCTCTGAACTCTGTTCATCTCACACAAAGGTGAACTGTCTCAGGATACTGTCTATAGTTAGCAAAATTTCATCCAGGTGACTTATTTTGGTTTTTTGCCATCTTAGAAAAGATGTGATTTATGCTATTGGCTTCAGATGTTCTTGACACCACTTAGAACAGGGTTCTCAACCTGTGGGTCTTGACCCCTTTGGACTGTATTAATGCTTCACGGCATTAGGAAGGTTGAGAACCACTGACCAAGAGCATTCTCTCCCATGTTACCAGCTTTAAAATTCCGTTTCAATTGACACCCCCCCTAATACATTATGAAGGTTTTTTTTTTTGAGACAAAGTCTCAAGCTGCCCCCCTGGGTAGAGTGCTGTGGCATCACAGCTCACAGCAATCTCAAACTCTTAGGCTTAGGGGATTCTCTTGCCTCAGCCTCCCAAATAGCCAGGACTATAGGTGTCTGCCATAACGCCTGGCTTATTTTGTTGTTGTTGTCATTGTTGTTTAGTAGGCCCAGGCCAGGTTTGAACCTGCCAGCCCTGATGTATGTGGCCAGCACCCTAACAACTGAGCTACCAGCACCAAGCACCAAGCATAATTGATCTTTAGAATCAATTATGTTCTTCCAAAATTAATTGTAATATTATTTAGGCTTAATTGATTTTAGCATTGTTTCTATTTACCCTATCTGGAAAAAAAGTAACTGTCACATGTACCATTTGTATCCTAAATGACTCTTCTGTTTATACTTACAAAAGTCTTTTATGACCAGGCTCAGTGGGTTATGCCTGGGCGGCCAAGGTGGGAGAATCACTTGAGCTCAGGAGATCCTGAGCAACAGTGAGACCCCATCTCTACTAAAAATAGAAAAACTAGTTGGGTGTTGTGGTGGCCACCTGTAGTCCCAGGTACTTGGGAGGCTGAGGCAGGAGGATCCATTGAACCCAGGAGCTTGAGGTTGCTGTAAGCTAGGCTTATGCCATGGCACTCAAGCCCAGAGTCTTTTTTGAGACTGTCTTAAAAAAAAATCAGTTATACACATAACATTTTCACACTT